AGTATCTGTTTGTGGCCTTGTACCTTAGTCTGTCTGAGGTTGTTGATTCTGTCAGCTGAGATCTGCTATATGGATATCAGGATCATTGTATAGACGAAGGTTAGAGTCATTGACAAGTGATTTCAGTGGTCTCATATTTGAAGCTCTAATTATGAGTTAATATGTGTAGTTGGCCCCTTTTTCTGAGACTATGAAGGGACCCACATATTTCGAGAAACGCTTCTCGGAACATTGTGAATTTTTAAAGTGAAAATTTGTCATCTTCAATAAGGTAAGGAATTGTGGTTTTCTGATCATAGCGAACTTTGTTTCTTTGTTGATAATATTTGAGAAACGTCCGTTATGAGTTTTAAATTGCCCAAAAAGTGTTTTAGAAATTTGTAAGAATCATGTCGCAATTTATCTTTTAGAATGATAGAAGAATCAAGGCATATGCAAAGCAAAGGCAAACGCCAAACATACGAGAGATGGAAGAAAACTGTTGATATCATGCATTGGGATTTTCTAAAACCCAACATTATGATTGGAAGAATGCCAGGCAATTTTTTTCAAGATGAGACTCGCAGAAAGTTCTAAGAAGACTGCGCAATTACACGGTTTTGTCCTGCGTTTGTTTGCGGATGATAACTTGATTTGTCAATGAAATATATGGAGATAACGAACAGTATTCAAGCTCAAAAGTCCATTATACAATACAAAATAGGAGCAGAGCAAACACGGACCTCCAAACATCAGAGGTGGGATCAGGTGCCATGGAGGAGTGAGCATCCCCTGCCGACCGGTCACACCCGCCGTGTGCTCCTTGTCATGATCGGGAAATAACGGAAAAATCCGTCGACAATTCAGTGTGTAAATAATGGCCTAACAACCAGTATGAAAAACGTCAGTCAGAAGAATTTCTTCCTTAGAAAGGGAACTATGAGTATAAGTTGGATTACCACTTGTAGAATTAAATCCAAGTTCCTCTAAAATACATTTAATATAATGAGCCTTACAAACAAAGACAATGTTGTTACCTGCTTTGTCAGCAGGGACCAGGACGTACTGATCATGTAATCTATCTAATTCTTTTTTCACTTCTGGATTATTGAATACAGAAGGATAGATGGTTTTCATATTGCCTCTAAATCTTTTAATGCGCGATTTTAACATACATCTATTACATTTAATCCATTCTGACAAAGTGTCAAGGTCTTCTTTTTCATGTCTGGCCCATCGCCTGGCGTAGTCCTCTACAGAATCCATAATATTTATGAAATTCTTACGCCAGTTGAAGGATCTGAGTTCCCTAAATTTAGGACCTTTTAAAATTAGTGATCTAAGGTCCTCATTATTAACTATATTTACGTCACCAGTAATAACGTGTCCAGCAGGACTATAGTTATAGGGCGAAGAAGAACATGAACACGATGGAGGATTATGTTTCAGATTTTCGAGATTGCTTTGTGAAAGAAAAATGAAGTACTTAAAATCTATTTTCCTGAATTTCAAAACTAATCCATTACGTTCCTGAGTTATTTTCTACTTTCGTTTCTTCTCCAATTATTCCCCTTTGCTAAACAAATCAGATCGTCTGCATGACGACAGTTGCAGTTGCGGGAAAGAAAAAAAGAAAGCATCATACGTATGTTAAATGTTTGTCTTTGAGGTAACTGGTATCAACAATAGAACTGTGAAGAAATGTTTTAATGCCACCAGAGCGGGGATATGCTGTTAATCTGTTAATTCTTAGGAAACAAATGCACGAGAAAAAAGAAACTAGGCCTAACTGAGCACGGAATTCAGTCGGCAACAGATTCTTCTAGATTTTACAGCATGTTGTGTTATGCATGGACAGGTTGTGATACGTACATGTATTTTTATGTTCGGTTTGAAATTCAGATGAAGGGATGCGCAAATGAAATACAAAACTTCATTGACCTAGAAAGAGTTTTTAGGGTTGTACTTGAGTAGCTTCCCTTTGTATTTACGAACCTAAAGATATCAGCTTACCGGGGAAAACATACCCATTGGGATATAGCAAAAATTAATAACACAACAGTTAATTTTTTTTTTTGAGTTAAAACTGTTATTGTTAGACGAGCTGGTAATGACACAACAATATTTGAGAACGTTGTTTCTTCGCTATGTATTACTCTGCGTTTGAAAATTTGGGTAGCCTAAGGTATATGTTGGACAGTCATTCATTCTCAAGTAAAATCTCATCATTGAAAGATAAATATTCAACGATAAGAAATAAATCTTATAATTTTCTTTTGATCGATGTATCAAAGAAAACTTGGACGGAAAATTTCATCAATGCGCGTAGATCTGTACATTCAGCCATTTTGAATTTCAGCAACGTTGAACATTGTGATGTATACCTACGCATAGTTTTTGATGCGTAAGTTAAATATTAAATTGAAAGAAAGTTTCAATATATTATTTTTAAATCATAATTAAACGATAAGAAATGAAAGTAATATTTTTTTTCTATGACCGAAGTATCAAATAAAAATTTCGACATCAATGCGCTTTGAAGACGTTTTCCGTCCAAATTTTTCTTTTATACTTCAGTCAAAGAAAAAAATATTACATTCATTTCTCAAATAAGAAAAGAAGACTAAGAATATATTATTTTTATCGGTAAAATTTGTTATGAACATGAAATATTCTTTAAGAAAGCTTAACTCCATTACGCTTTCTCTTTCAAAATTTTAATTCTTGAAACACAAGGTACACAGGTGATGAAAGGATTGGCCTCAGCCTTGAGATTTGTTGGAAAGTTTGAAATACCATATTTTGTAAAATCTCGAATAGTTCTTTTTTTCGGTTCTCTTTGTTACTTATTTGAGTGTAATCATAATCGTCAGAAATTCTTAAAAGTTGATAGTTTTAGGTTGGCTGTGTTAATTTTTCGATCAGCCTAAATAACCCCCCCCCCCTCCCCGAAAAAAAAAGTACGTACTATTTCCTGTACATGTTTATTATGAACACTTATTTCGGCAAAAACTTACTTTTTCTTCCTCCATCTTGTGGGCAGTTGAATCATCTATCTTCCTTAGTAAAATACGGAAACGACGACCTTTTCATACACTTCCGAAGTATATCCTACAAATTTAAGATATGGTTTTCCAACCTACTTTGTAACATATTAATCAAATATATTTAGTAATAAGTACAGCAATGCCGCACTGTGCGATACGGATGACGTCAAAACACCCCATATCAACGTATCAGACCGGCATGCAAAAATCCATATAAAACTGACAGTTTAAAAAGTATAATAATTTAATTTTATTGAATTACGCATGTGTTACAATTCATGTACATGTACTAAACATTTGTTGACTTAATCAGTTTTATAATGACCGAAAAATATATTTATTAACTTTTATAGAAAGGGGTTCATTCATGCACCAAGCATTCCTTGATAACTCTGATTAAATGCAGAAATATATTAAATCACATATTAAATATAAGATGAATTGAATAGTACATCATATATCAGATTAGCCCTCGGGCTCGATCCATATCAGTCTCAGGCCTTCGGTCCTCGGGCTGATATGGGGTCACTCAGGCTAATATGACATATGATATGGGTTTTGGTATTTAATATTCTCTACATATAGTTTTATCATCAAATTATCAGCGTATCCATCAAAGAATACTTTTAAAGTTATTATCACTACTATTAATAGATAATTTGACTTCATTCGAAAGAAATTTATATGCATGAAAAGCTGTTTGAATTTTTAACGACAAAATTAATGATCCGACAGGAAGCGTCACGTCGCTTTGGTGACATCGGGAAGAATGCATGCCTTTTTTTCTTTTCAAAAAAACAAAAAACAAAAAAACTAGAAAGTACTATTTTCCAGCAGGAAAAGTTTTGGGAAATATTAATATTTTTAAAATATACACGTTTCTACTGGCTATAAGGATAATAAGTCTTGGAGGACAGCAACTACTTCCCGAGGCGCAGCAGAGGGAATTAGTTGCTGTCAAGAGGTACAATAAACTTGATATTGTCGTCATAGCCAGTAAATTGATGTTTTATTACACCAAAGTAGACTCAACTTGTGTCAAGAGTCACGATACGGATAAAACTAGAAAAGTTCCGTTGTGAAGAGTGAAAAAAGCGACGGTAATCGAATGCTGCCTGTGAATAGTTCGATGACCATCAGAGCAAAATGCGCAAAAACTTTTTCACGGTAGAGGCTGTTTAGAAAAAAGCAGGTTTATCAATCATATTTTTTAAAAGAAAAAACACAGGGGTATAATAATCTTAAATATTTATCAAATTTTGTTTTATCATATTTATAAAATCCCGTGTTTTAGAGATTAATACTACCTTTCGTAACGGTAAATCAGATTGTCGCTATAAAGAATCGCTAAAGAACTAGGTACGGTAAAGACATATCCCTGTCCCCATAAAAGTCAAATCTGAAAAACTCTCTAAAAGTGCACATTTTATAAAAACAAATCTTGATTAACAAAATGCTTTATTGATTTTGGAAAATAAGATAAGCATATATATCTCTGTGACGTCACAAACCACTGGGATTTCCCGTTACTTGATAAAAAGATGAGAGGATAAAAAATGTACGAATTTTGATTTAATTTTTGTTTCGAGCGCAAACTTGCCAAGGAACTATTTTCAAACATTTCATTGATATTGTCATTTTACAATGTATTTTAAAAGACGGGATCGAAGCAGACCTGCGCTCGATATTTTTTCACTCTAATTTTCGACGAAAAATAGGATATTTTCTTTCGAAATCATTGAAATTTGGAATTTACGTAATTTCTAGCTCTACTGGGTTGAGCGAATTTATGATTTTTTTTTTCAACAAGAACTTCTGAGATTTGATATCTAATATGATTATCAGTGCAAAGTATAAATAAACTTAATAGACCATTTCCACCAAAAGCACGTACTTTCAAGTTCGAAAACCAGAGCGGTCTCTTATCTTGATCAAAGGCAAAGATTACAATGTTTGTCTATTTCGCAGAGGAACATGGCATCTTATTTATTGTGTTTAGTAAATTTCGTGGTAGTGTATACATGTATTTGTATTACCCACTGTTTGCTGCTTAACGATCCTTTGGTCGTCGAGCAGCGTTTAGCTCGCATGGAATCTTTGGTTGAAGGACTCTCCCAAGAAGTCACTGCATTGAGATCTGAGAATACAGACCTGAAATCTAAAATTACCTCAGGTAAATTTTTAACTGCTATTTATTCACAAAGTTTGTAAACAAAAAAAATAAAAGGCCTGAATTTCTCGTCCTTGAAAAAAGGTACATGTAAATACAGTGCATTTATCTATTTATGAAACAGTTTCGATAATTGTGGATGTGTAGAAAACAAACGAATGTTTATTTTTTTTTTTTTTTTTTACTACACTTTAATTGTATAGGAATTGTAATTCTGTAATACTGCATATGTGTATTAGGTATGTGCAGAAATTCTAACAATAAATGCCGTAGAAAAAATTACAGAAAGTTACAACTGTATTTATTAGTTGAGTGCTTCTCTCTCTTTCTCTCTCTATTTATATAATTTGGTCTTTACGTAGCACGAACACCAGTGTATTTTTCGGCATACAGGAAGAACAGTCTGACCTTGACATCGCCCTCCAAGGTGGATGTTGTGTACGATGTTGTTCGAAGTAACTTCCACAACTGCTATAACCCCACCACAGGCCATTTTACAGCACCAATGAAGGGCTTTTATGTCTTTAGTTGGGAAACCTCAACAGCTGCTGGGAAAATATTTGATACCGAACTACTGGTCAATGGTACAAGACATCAACTAAATTACTGTAACAATTTGGCAACAACTGCTGCCTTTTCAAGCTGCACTGGGGTCGTCCCTATCCAGCTTGAAGCTGGGGATGTCGTTAACATCAGAAGCACTGTTGGGACATATTGCCACGGTAGTGGATGGTCTATCTTCAGTGGCTGGCTCGTTTTTGAAATGTAACAAGAATACTTTTGTAAAGTATCTAAATGAAATAAAGTGTATTCTTATGCCAATGAAAGAATTGTTCATAGCCTTTTTGGAAGGTACTTAATAACTTCCCTTTCTAAGTTAAGATTTCAATGCTACTCAACTTTAAAGAGACCGATCACGGTAGCCTAGTGGTAAGGCGTACTTCGTGATCGGGAGGCCCGGGTTCGATTCTCGTTCACGATGCGGCGTCAAACCTAAGACGTAAACATAGGTAGCGACTGTTCCTTCGCCAAGTGCCCGGTACTAGAACTGAAAGTCACGGGTCTTTCGGATGAGACCTTAAAAACCGAGGCCCCGTATCACGGTAGGTGTTGGTACGATAAAGAATCCTCACTGCACAGTGGCCCTGAGTGCCAAGTAAAGATCTAAATTTGAAGCCCTTCATCGGCATACGGTGACGTCTGTATAAGAGTGAAAAACTCGAGAATGGCATGTTAAACAACATTCAATCAATCAATCTTTGAAGAGATTCTGTTTTAGGCGACTTTAAAAGCGTACGACTACAGAAGCAAGAGTTATTTTGATTCAGTGCCTGCGGAATATGTATTCTAGAGTTGATTGTTGACTGAAAGTTTAAGTACCTCACGAACGTACATTGAAACAAAACATCCTGCAACATTTTAAAAGTAATGAAATATTATAACTAATAATAAGGATTGCAGACACACGTACTTTAACACCCCCTACCTACAAAAGAGAAATTCGACATTTGATAAAAATTCTCTTTTTTTCAGAATTGAAAGATGTGTAAACTCGAGCGTTTGTACTCACAAACTAAAAATGCGAAACATTTGTGATTACAAATGCAAAAGATTACACATCGCAAAATTCTGAGGAAAAAATTCTTATCCTATGATGTCGTAGGTTCGCTGTATTTTGGTATACACACTCGCGCTGGTAAACTGTAGGTACGAGAAAGTTCAGCCAAATGATGAATTAACAAGAAGTCTGTAAGCCAATGCCCACTAATAATAACCCCGCTTTGATGTGAAAACACAACTTCGTTTATGGACAGGCTCAGAGATAAACAGGAAGTTGACATCGGATTCGAACAGAAACTAGATATCATTGAGGTGGTGGCCATCTCAAAGGGCCCCGCTTGCAGCAACGAACATGAAAATGTAAGGTAGCTGCAAAGGTTTATTTTGAAGAGGAACATTTGTGTACTATTAAGGGATATGTAGTTTGAGTATAAAGGGATTCTATGTCATCCTTGTTATAATAAAAAAAAAATGGCACGAAAAATCACGAGTGCTCCATACCCTCTATCAAAAAAACGGCACAAAAATCACGAATGTTGCATATCCTCCATCAAAATATGGAAGGAAAATCAGAACTGTTTCATCCCCAAAGTCGGTAAAGTTTGAGGCTGACTGGACTTAAGGGAAAGAAAATATGCACCGAACAAAGATTTTAAACAGAGAGCTATTTTTGACTTTGTATAAGGTCACTGCACATCAATTGACCAGTGGCACTCTGAGTAAAGTATGAGCCACATTGGACCAGGGGGAGAGAAGATATCCTCTCAAGGATTCATCATATAATTCTGTTGTGACCTTAACCTTAGACCTAGAAACATGGTTCAAGGTCACTGCACACCCTTTACACAAAGGTACTCTGTGGGTGAAGTATGAGCCAGATTGGGCCAAGGAGAGAGAAAATATGCTCCGGGCAAGAATTTAAACAGAGAGGCTTTTTTTTTCCTTGACCCTTGACGTAGAAACCTCATTCAAGGTCAGTGCATATCCATTGACCAGTGGCACTCTGTGAGTGAAGTACGAGTCACATTTGACCAAGAGACCAAGGATTTTTCATATAATTCTGCTATTACCTTAACCTTAGACCTAGAAACATTGTCCAAGGTCACTGGACACCCTTTACCCAAAGACACTCCCTAGGTGAAGTATGAGCCAGATTGGGCCAAAAAGAGAGAGAATATTGATTGATTGTATGTTGTTTAACGTCCCATTCGAGAATTTTCCACTCATATAGAGACGTCACCATAAACCGGTGAAGGGCTTCAAATTTAGACCTTTACTCGGCACTCAAGGCCATTGAGCAGCGAGGGATCTTTATCGTGCCAACGCCTGCCGTGACACGGGGCCTCGGTTTTTAAGGTCTCATCCGAAGGACCCGCAACCTTCACTTCAAAGTGCCGAGCGCATGGCGAAGGAACAGTTGCTACCCATTTTTTAATCGACTTAGATCAGTCGCGGCCGAGATTCGAACTCGCGACCTCCCGATCACGGAGCGAGTGCTTCACCGACTGAGCTACCGTGAACGGTAGGAGAGAGAAGATATGCTTCGGACAAGAGACCTCGGACGGACAGACAGACTGATCACTATAGGACGCCCACAGAGCGGGGCCCTAATGAATCCCACCATATGACGTGCCTAAACAAAGAATGTCCTAAACTTTCAAGCATCTAAGATGAGTAATTGCTGAGAAAACTGCGACTAAAATTTGTTACATGTATGTATGATACGGACAGACGCATGAGAAACAGGAAGTTGACCACGGATTCGTAAAAAAATAAATCCCACCATATGGTATGCCTAAACAAAGAGTGTGCTAAAATTTCAAGCATCTGCGATGAATAGTTGCTCAGGGAAACTGCAACCAAAATTTGTTATGTATAGTACGGACAGACGCACGGATAAACAGGAACTTGACATCGGATTCTCACAAAAATGAACCCTACCAAATGGCATGCTTAAACAAAGCGTGTTGTAAAATTTCAAGCATTTACGATGAGAAATGGCTGAGAAAACTGCAACCAAAATTTGTTACGGACAGACAAAAAGACAGACAGACACACAAGGGTAGAACAGCATACCCCCCTCTCCGAAGGAGAGGGGGCGTATTTAACCTATTGTTAGTTGTTATAATTGCCCGGTACTTTTCTTGAGCTCCTTCAAAGTTGGGCTTCTTGCCGGGTCAATTATCTATCGGACCGTCACGGTAGCTCAGTCGGTAGAGCGCTCGCTCCGTACATGATCGGAGGGTCGTGTGTTCGAATCACGGTCGCGACTGACCTATGTCAATAAAAAATAGGTAGCAACTGTTCTTTCGCCAAGCGCTTGGCACTTTTAAGTGAAAGTTGCAGGTCATTCGAATGAGACCCAAAGATCCGAGGCACCATGTCAGGGTAGGTGTTGGCACGATAAAGAACCCTCACTACCCAATGACCCTAAGTGCCAAGTAAAGGTCTAAATGTGAAGCCCTTCACCGGTATGTCTACATATGAGTGAAAAATTCTCGAACGGGACGTTTAAGTCTCAATTATTATACCCACACTTTCTAAAGAAAGTTCGGGTATATTGTTTCTCATGTCTGTCGTCCGTCTGTCACACACTTCTTTCTCAAACCCCTCTTACATTTTATACAGTAGCCTAATCATCTTTTGGGAGATGTTTGGTGGTGTCATGTAGATCTGCAGAAAGGTTTCGGAATTTTCATTTTCACCCTAGGGGGTCAAATGGGGGTCGAAAAATGACGTTTTTTATGCAAAAAGCCCCTGGTTCCCTGAACTCCTCTTACATTTTACACAGTAGCCTAATCATCTTTTGGGAGATGGTTGGTGCTGTCATGTAGATGTGCAGTGAGGTTTTGAAATGTTTTTTCACCCTAGGGGTCAAATGGGCGTCGAAAAATGACGGTTTTTTTATGCAAAAAGCTCCTGGTTCCCTAAACTCCTCTTACATTTTACACAGTAGCCTAATCATCTTTTGGAAGATGGTTAGTGGCATCCTGTAGATGTGCAGTAAAGTTTCGGAATTTTTATTTTCCCCCTGGGGTCAAACAGGGGTCGAAAAATGACGTTTTTTTATGCATAAAGCCCCTGGTTTCGAGAACTCCTCTTACATTTTACACAGCAGCCTAATCATCTTTTGGGAGATGGTTGGTGGTGTCCTGTAGATGTGCAGTAAGGTTTCGGAATTTTTATTTCCCGCCTGGGGGTCAAATTTAAAAAAAAATATTTTCCATGTTTAAACACCCTGGTTACCAGAACGTCCCTTATATTTTATGCACTAGCCTTAAATCATGATCATTTGGAAGATGATTGATTTTGTCCTGTGGATGTGTAAAATGGTTTTAAAATTTGCATTTCCATGTGGATGGCAAATAGGGGCAGGGAAAAAAGGCCCCTCCCTAACCCATGGAGTCATGATTTGTACAAACTTGAATCTGCACTTCTTGGGAATGTTTCCATATTAACCATGCTTTTGTTGTTCTTTAAAAGAAGAATTTTGAAGAATTTTTTTTCATTTTATTCCTATATAAAAGTTTGATCCCTTATTGTGGCAATGGAAAAATGAACTGCCTATATAGGCTGTTATTAAGCAGTACTTCAGCAGTTTTATGAATTTCAAGCAGTTTTCTAGCAATTTCAGGCAGTTTGATTTTTACTGTTGTTTCATAACTGCTAATGCCTGGGGAGTAAACAGTTTTCATAAGCAGTTTTCTAAGCAGTTAGCAGTATGTTTAAGCTTTACCCCTACTGGGGGAAAGAACAGTTTTGTTAGCAGTATGTAAGCAGTTTCCTTAGCAGTAAATATTCAATTTGATTGGGATAAAGATAAATTCCAATGTTGGGCTCAATGATCAACAAATATACACAACAGGAACCAAACAACTGACCGCCAAAATTGAATTTTGGCTGCCATGTTGTGTAGTTGGACAAAAGGAAATAGAGTCATGAAGAGGGGGTTGGCCACAAAGTTTTAATTGAAATTATGATGCAGACATATAATATCTGGTACGTACACTATATTTTATAAGTGTTCTTAAATAAGAGAGGTAATTAACAATTATTGTACTGCTTGAATCATCCCAATTTCATTATGGTATGTCTCATATTATAATTATTTCCAGTGCACCTTTTAAGAATCACTGTCTCAATTCCATTTAACTACAATAAGCTGAAAATCTTTTTTATTTAACCACAATTATTGTTTTAGGAAAAAAA